AAGCATTTTGTTCTTGGCTGTGCTAGGGATCAACTATACAGCCTCACAAGTGCTAGGTAAGATGCTACCACTGAGCTACATCCCCAGTCCAAAGACTTACAAGGCCTGTTTTCAAACATCTACCACTAGGTCTGAATTATCATCAGAAGATCATCATACAAATCCAATTACAATACTTAGGCCCATTCTCTTGTTCCCAGTTTTCAACAAAGAGATTCTGAAAACAAAGAGATTATGTTCAAATAGTTAAATCACACCAGGTCTTCTCAGAATTTGTCCTATTGTGAACACTGGAGAACCTCTTATGTCCTCATACCCACTCAGTGGTAGAAGTCCCGTAGTCCGGTTGGAAACCAGTCCATACTACTCACAAAGCACAAAACCACATTCAATAGTTGTACATACTTCCTCTACTGCAAAATAAGATGTTTCTAGAGGTCTCAGCAGAATGTCCTATATTTACAATACATTGGTCATGAGTTTTATAGGGCAGAAGAGAGAAGAGTCAGGACAGGGCTTAGTAGCAAACAACCTGATCTTTCCCCTAGGGTGCTTAGTTTTCTAGGACCACCTCTAATTTCATACAGGTTTCCTAGAGAGCACTCTAAAAAAAACTACATATTATTAGTTGGGCACAGTGGCTTATGCCTACAGTTCTAGCATTTGGGAGGCTGAGGCAGGAGAATTGTTAGTTGGCAGCCAGTCTGGGCTACAAAGATAAACTATCTCAATACACCAAGAACAGGAGCCAACAAGATGGCTCAGCAGGTAAAGCTTCTTGCTGCCAAATCTGACAACAACTTGGGTTTGATCTCTGGAACCCACATGGTATAAGGAGAGAACTGACTCCTGCAAGTTGTTATCTGATTTTTGCATGTATAAGCACATGAACGTAAGTATGAACCCATCTATATATACTTGTGCACACGCGTGCGCGCACATACACACACACCCACACCCAGAAATATAAAGAAATAAAATGTAAAAAAAATTAATGAAATAAATAAGAACCCATTGGGTTTTTAAAAATTTATTTAGGGATGGGTTATGGTTATATAGCTAGAAAATAAAAACCTAAATAAACTACTAGGCGAAAAATACAGAAACAATACATGTCTTATAAAATGGGTCAAACAAGTCAATAGTAACTAGTGGAAAATGAGGACATGAAATGAAACCAGGCCCACTGCTAAGAGTCAATATTGCTTCCATCACAGTTCATCAAGGGATGTGCAATGACTGCGCGATTTAGATACAAAATGAACTATTTCTCAGTAGCAAGAGGACACAACAGCTGCATCCTTCCTAGAATCCTGTACGGGATAAATTTCCAACAGAGACAATTATTTTAAAACAAACTCTTCATTAAAGATATCTACAACACAATTCAGAATTACTTATAGATCAAAAGTCACAGAATATATGGTAAAATTGTCAATTTATCCAGTAGTGTGAATACAGTCTAGTTGCTTACTTGATCAACTGCCAGTCCATTGTAACTGTGAGAGGAGAGCTGCGCAGAGGAGTGAACGCCTTCCCTCGACATGCAGGCACAGGACACTGCAGCAAAAGTAAGCTACACTCAGCCTTTGGTAAGCCATGGTCACATCTTAGGAAAAGTCAGGCTATAATCTCACCCACTAAGGGCTGTGACCTTCCACTTTCTGCTGCCATAGTCAGCTATCATAAGCTTTCTTGGCACTTTTCTAGCTGACCCTTCTCACTTCTTGTACTTGTTCTTTCTGTGGGCACACACACACACAGTCACACTTCCACTCACTTCCGAAGGGTGACCTCTGACCCCATGAACTCTCCCGTTCCTTGGGCTCCTTGAATGCCCCTTCTTCAATCCCACGTCCTGACCCACTCTTCTCCTTGTGCAAAGTCTTTTCCTTAGGTCTTCTTTAATCCCCAGCTCTCCTGTAGCCCTTGGCACTGTTTGTATGATTTATTTACTGGATTACATAAGTAGTACTTACTACATACGCAAGTTGTGTTCAAGTTTTCCTGTCACTTGCTTGGTGTTTGGACCTCTAGACACATTCATAAACTTAAGGCACTGTAGTAGAATATATTTTTCAAACATGCAACAACAGTTCCCCTCAAAACTTTCTAGAACCTTACCACTCCTCCATCAGGAGATGGAGTCAATTTCCTCTCCTGGAATCTGGGCAGGTTTGTGCCTGAGTCTAACTCACAATGTGACAGAAACGATGCTGCAAGATTTTCAAGCTTATGAAAAGCCAAGCCACTTCTGCCAACCAGCTGATCTCTGCACAGCAGCTCTCAGCAGCCATGAGGAGACTACACTGTGAGCTGCCACAATGTCTATCAAAAACTGAAACCAGACCACAAAGAACAGAAATGCCTGGCCAGCAAACCTTGCTGTACTTGCTCCAGCCATCATCTGACTGCAACATTACAGATCTAGAGGCAGAATTACACAGGTAGGTGGTTCTTCCAAACTTCTTAACCAAGAAATGACAAATGTGTCCTGAATTTAGGGCTATATGCTATGTAGCAACAGCTATGTGCTCAGAAACACTAGGAAATGTTTCTGCAAATTGATACCTTTACCAAGACAAAAGCATTTAAAGAACATACATATCACCTTTGTGGGAAGATTATATTTTCCATCCGGAAGAGAAAAACTCTGGACCTCTCCACACGCAGCACAAAGGAAAGCCATCTTGGTGCAAAGAGGCTTTATGTTACTGACACGAACCACTGTCCCTCTCAAAGCAATGTACTTTCCATAGTAATTTGCTCGGACATTCTTGAGGTGTGTCAGGGGCTCATAGTTGTACACTCTAAAAATAAGACAAGAACATATTTATCTATACATTTACAATGAACAGAGAAAGTCATATTTGCACAAGTTCCTTTTACAAGCAATCATTATCCCTTAAAAATATCAAAAATCTCACAAGAGTTAAATTTTATTAAAAGTGAAAAATACTAAATCCTATATGTTGCTATCTAGGGCACAGGGAAGAAGAGGGAGAATTTATTAAGAGGAAAAAAATGAAAAATAATAGCAAAAGGAAAATGCCACAAATTCTGTGACTTTGGGTCTCTAACTTCTTTTAAAGAACTGTATGAGGGGGCTGGAGAGATGACTCAGCAGTTAAGAACATTGGTTGTTCTTGCAGAAGACCCGGGTTCGAATCTCAGGACCCACAGGGCAGTTAACAACTGTCCATAACTCCAGTTCCAAGGGATCCAATAGCCTCTTCTGTACTCCATGGGTACTGCATGACATGGGTGCACTTACCAACAAACAGGCAATACATGCATAAAAAAATTTAATTAAATTTTAAAAAAATCATTAAAAAAAAGAATTGTATGAAATATCTTCTATAAATTTTGGAAAAGAAAAATTAAGCACTAAATATTTATTTTTTATCTCAAGGAATTTAAAATCTAAAAATAGGATAAAGATGAACTCAAGAATAACTTATTTCCTTATGTCTATTAGAAACTTAAGAGTTTAACAAAGTACATACCACTTAGTGTATTCCATGAATTATCAAACATACAGTAGTCTTGATAAGTACACACTCAAAACCAATGTTTACAAAAATTTTCAGCTTGGGTAATCAGCTCATTTGGGTAGAAAATGTTGATTTCTACCATGATGTCTTTGACTAATTTTTAGTTGGTTAATTTCGTTATTATATAAATGAAATTAGCAAGAAACTCACATTGACTTCCTTATTTCCATGAAATGAGGTTCTTACTCTTTTATAGAAACATTTATTTAGGGCCTGAAGAAATGGCTCAACGGTTAAGAGCACTGACTGCTCTTGCAGAGGGCCCAGGTTCAATTCCCAGCACCCACATGGTGGCTAACCATCTGTATCTCCAGTTCCAGGGGATCCGACGTCTTTGTGTGACCTTCTCAGGCATTGCATGACACAGATTCACTTACACACATGCAGGCAATACACTCATACACACAAAATACAAATAATAAATAAAATAATTAAAAAACAACATTTATTTAGCTAGGCATGGTGGTGCACACAATCCCAGAACTTGGGAGGCATAGGCAGGTGGATCTCTCTAAGAATGAGGCCAGCCTGGTCTACAGAGCAAGTTCCAGGCCATCTGGGGCTAGAGGGAGACTGTCTCAAAACAACAAAAAACCAAAACAAATAATTATTTTGTGGGTGCTCACTCATGCAGGCATGCATGTGAAGATCAGAGAACATCCTATAAGAGCCAGTTCTTGCCTCTTTCCTTCTACTATGTGGGTTCTAAGACTAAGCTCAGGTTATCAGGCTCAGTGGCTGCACTTTTACCTACTGAGCCATCTCCAACCCCGAGGTGCTCATTCTTAACTACTCCTCACTACACTAAGTAATGCCAGCAAGATGAACTGAATAGAACTGTTTTCAAAGGAAGTAATACAAATGACCAATAAATACTTTAAAAAATGTTCATCATCCTTAAGATGTCAAGGAGATGCAAATTAAAACTGCTTTGAGATTCCATCTCACTCAGTCACAATGGCTATCCCCAAGAAAACAAAGGACAACAGATGCTGCTGAGGATTCCTTACACACTGCTGGTGGGAATCCAAACTGGTGCAGTCACTATGAAAAGCAATATGGAGATTCCTCAAAAAAAAAAAAAAAGAAATCAGAACTACCCTATGACCAGCTATATGACTACTGGGTATAAACCAGCAGGACGCTACATCAGCACACCACAGAGATACTTGCACATCCACGTTTAGTGTTGCACTACTCAGAGTACACAGGTAAGGAAACAGCCAGATGTCTACAATTCATTTGTGGATAAAGAGAATTTGGTACATATACCTGATGAAATTTTATTCAACTGTAAGGAAGAATGAAATTCTGGCTTTAACAGGAAAGTGGACAGAATCAGAGATCACTTTAAGTAAAACACACCAACTCAGAAACAGAAGCACTGCACACTCTTTCATATCTGAAACCTAGATTTACACACACACACACACCCTAGATTCGAGCAAACATATATACTTGCAAGACACAAAACTAGAACGTGCACTATGAGAGTGGATAAAAAAGGAGGCAGGAGTGGGGGAATGGGAAGCTAACAGAATCTGTGTCATGAAAACAAAAGTGGGGACTATTTGAGGGGAGGAAGAGGTCCAGCTGAGAGGGAATTTGACAGTGTGGGCATTTGGAGGAGTAAAAATAAAGTATAGTGATATCATATAATGTCACAATGAAACACATTTCTTTGTATGCTAAGCAAAAACAATAAAAATAACCATCGCTTCTCACCTTGCATAAATATGTGGCACATTTACCATTGTTTCTCCATCACTGGACAGTCCTTCTTGGGCTTGCAATTCAGCTGCATGTCTTTCAAGGTCCTGAGTTAAAACCTAAACAGAACAGACATCATTTCAAAAATGAATAAACATTCTCTTTAAACAGAACTTACAGAGAACCCAAAGTGTAACACCTCAGGAAAAAAAATATATATGCATGACTCTGATAGCCCTTTAAAAGTCTGATATTGGAGGCTGGAGAGATGGCTTAGTAGTTAAGAACACTGACTGCTCTTGCAGAAGACCTGGGTTCAAATCCCAGCACCCACATTGCAGTTAACAACTGTCTGTAACTCCAGTTTCGGGGGATCTGACGGTCTCTTCTGTCCTCTGTGGGCAATGCACAGCACGGGTGCACTTACCTACATGCAGGCGAAACATGCATACATATAAAATAAAAATAATAAAATATTTGAAAAAATAAATAACTAAATAAAAGTCTGATAGTTAATTACGACTATTCCACAGTGGGTTGTTTTAGCTGGAATTTTCCTGTCCTGGACTAGAAAGCTCCAGGATCCTTGCTTACTACCTTTTGCCTCAAATAAACATCATTAAAAGTCCTTGTAGTAGCCTTTAAAGCAATTACCCACTAGGCTCCACTAAAAAATACTTTTCCGTAGGGCATGCTGTTACTGGTGGTTAGTGTCTGGCCCAAGTCTTTCCAGGTTCTTGGCATCTTAATTAAGGAACTGAAGAGGCACACACACTGCAAAGAAGCAAGGAAACTCTACACAAAAGCAAAGCAATAATACAGATCAATACTGTCCAGGGGCACTGGGTCACCTGAGTGAAATAATACTCAAGGGACCCAGGTTACTGTCTGGGGCTTCTTTTTCTTTTCTCTATTAGTATTGTATAATGTGTATACACTGTGATATGTATGTGTCTGTGTCTGTGTGTGAGAGAGAGAATGCAGGTATATGTACGCCATGGCATGTGGAGGTCAGAAAACTCCTGGTGGTTAGTGTCTAGACCAAGTCTTCCTTCTCTTCTATCTTTATGTGGGGTTGGATCACAAGGCTTGGTGGCCCTGCCTGGGGCTTCTTTTATGAGATCCTAGGGGAAGAAGGGGCTAGCTGCAAGGCGGCATAATTTGAGTGGCTTTCTATTTATATTGACAGGCTTGGATTTTCTCACTGTGTGTATTTTCTATTTTGATTGATAGGTTTCACTCTTTTTCACTGTGTATGTCCTTTCCCATGATGCATCTGTTTCTAATCATATGCATACTCAACTATGCATAGACATAAGAGGGTAAATGGATACTCAGAGGACAGCTTGCCTTACTGTGCATGCTTCAAAAACTATCAAGGCAGGATCGGCCCCTTCATTCTAATACCCAGATATATCTTGGAATATACTTGAACAGAAACTGTCCAAAACTGGATGGGTTTTTTTGATGATGTTAGGGGAAGGAGGTACTTATTTCAATGTTTGAAGTGGGGTATATGTGTAGCACAATACAGGTGGGTGATCCTAGGTTGCTAGGAGTATTGTTAGGACAATGGTGTATGTATAGCCTAAACCAAGTGGAGTTCCAGGTTGCTAAGCAATTTTCTGTGGCTATCTGCTTCATGGTGCTGTGTCTGTAATCTCAGCTATGGGAAGGCTGAGATAAGAAGACTACAAATTTGAGACCAGCCTGGGCAATTTAGCAAGAACTCCAACTCAAAAAAGAGAAAACAAACAAACAAACATTATCAGCAGGAAGTGCAGCTCAGTTGCAGAACATGTGCCTAACACACAAGGCCGTGGGTTTGATCACTGGCACAGCCAATAACAAACAAAGAATTAACAAAAAATAAGTGTTTTAGCTGGGCATGGTGGCACACACCTTTAGTCCCAGCACCTGGAAGGCAGAGGCAAGCAGATCTCTGTGAGATGGAGGCCAGCCTGGTGTACATAGTGAGTTCCAGGTTAACTGGGGCTATGGAGACCCTGTCTCATTTAAAAAAAAAAAAAAAAATTATTTTTCTACTTTTCCATATTCACTAATATCAAGATAGAAAAATATATACTCAGATACAATTGTTAATATTTATAAACAAAATATCATATAAGTTTTGAAAATGGACCGTAAGAAAGGTTTTACAGCAAGGCAATTGAGTTAGACCAATAAAACATTTGGACATAGGAGGGTGATGGGACACTAGGTAGAATGGAAAGCATGTGTAAGGGACAGGAGTGTTCAGAGACTATCGGAGGGAGCACAGTTTAGTTGACTCAGTCAATGAAGGAGACTAGTGGAGAGATGAAGTTGAACCAGATCATGGACGGTTTTCAATGCCACATAAAGGCTTTTACTTCACTGAGTAGCAAGGAGTGACCACAGTTACTGAGGACAGATCACAGTTTACAAAGACAATTCTTTCTAAAGAAGGCTTAGCCTAAGATAGGCAGGAAGGATGGGGAGGTGAACCTAAGAGCATGTTAGAAAGAAAATAAGCAGACGCGGTTACCAGGATAGAGAAATAAACAACTGGATGGGTCTGAAGACAATAGGCAAGGTTGCCAGCTCAGTTGCTAGGAGTGCATACACACTGTGATAAACTGTCTGCTGCACCTGGATGTTCTCGATGTTCTCCCCCAACTCCCCACCCTGCTCTGTATCCAGATTTTTAAAAAACATTTTATTTTTATTCATGTGTTTGTATGTGTCTACATGCATTTGAGTATAGGTGCCCAGGGAGGCCAGAAGGGGGCGTTGGATCCCCTGGAACTAGAGTTATAGGTGGTGGCAAGTTACCTAATGTGGGTGCTGGGAACTGAACTCAGGTCCTCTATGAGAGCAGCAACTGCTCTTAAAGTGCTGAGCCATCTCTCCAGCCCTGTGCCCTGACTGTAACTAACCCCTTAAGACCTACCACAAACCTCAAGGCTCCCTCTGAGCCACCTCCATTCTACCCTAACAGATAACAGATGGATGCACCTGGCACTTTATCTGTGCCTGTCCTGGGATTTGCTCCTCTTCACCTTGACATATTCATCTGTTTGTGTGTCTAAAAAAATGCTTTGACATGTTGTCTCACTTGTCCCTGAGAAAAACTGAGAAAAACACAGAACATACTTTACTTCCATTTTATATATGGGACACTAAGTGGGGAAACTGCCAGTTTTCCTTATGTCACAGAACTTACATCTATGGTTGGTCCTTTTTCTCCAAGTTTCTAACATTATGTGTATTTTATCTTTCCAATGAAATTATATACTTTTTAAAAACAATTTCTGTATCTTTAATGAAATCAAACTAATTCAAATAAGGTAGGCATTACACACAGACTAAATCTGTTCTTTTAGGAAAAGATTGTGGTCCTTAAGTTCTGACCAACATGTTAGTAAACACTACGCACCTTTCAAAGAAAGTATGAACACTGTGGTATCTCTCTTTAAAATTTCAGCAGAGTGTGCAAAAGTACTTACCTGGTGTACTGCCAGACCCATACAAGCCAAGGTCTGCTCTGGTGCGTCCTTTAGTGCATTTGCTATGTCTGGCATTAAATTAGTAATTTCATCATCTTTTATCAGTTCTTTAAAATCCACCAAAATACTTCCCTTTCTCTCTATTTCATCCTATAAAAGATTAAAGTTTGAAAATAGCAACTGGTGTTTTTGGAGTCAATTATGATAACCGAGCATTTATATTTTTGAGAAGAAGGCATGTAATATTTATATGGTGATAATTCTAATACATCAGATCTTGCCAAATACAGTTGAAATATTTTAAATATATTTACTTTATACTTGACAAACTTATTTTGCTCTTTAGAATTTTTTCAATATATATTTTATTGAACTTTTGTGCATTTCATACACCCTAACCATATTTAGACCCCCTCCCCTATTTGTACCACTCCATAGCCCCCCCCCCTCCAATTTCATACATTCTGTCATCGAGTCAAGTTTGTAGCCCCGGATGTCCCTCATTGTGAGTTCATCCACTGGAGCCTATTCAGCCTAGCATCATTCCCTTAAAGAAGACCAACTCTCCCTCACCCAGCAGTCAATAGTTCCTTGGCTAAGTTGGGGATGCTTGCCTACTTCCCCAGTTCTGTGCTGGGTTTTTTCTGGGTTGAGCTTGACAAACTTTTGAGGTAGATATTTATGCTATTATCTCCAAGTAATGAGAAAGGTGAGGTACAGAGACTCTAAGAATTCACTGAAGTCTACACTTCAGGTAACAAAACTAGCACAGCAAGGACCTAAACGAAGGTCATCCAACTCCAGCACCATCATCATACTCACCAGCACCTCAAACACACTGACCAGTCAGCTGCCACCCAGAAAGGCAGACTGCTAACTCAAAGTTTTCTATTGCAGAAAACTCTTACCTTATCATATAAGTCAATATGTCTTGTGAAGAATTTTTCAAATGCTTGAATCTTCTCAATAAAAGGAGAGCTATCACTGTAAACTAATCCAATAAATACAAAACTAGCATTAATAATAATACATGCATGTAAGCATATATAACTATATATAAAAAACTATATAGATAACTATATATATCCCAAACAAAAGAAGCCCTATAAACACAATAGTTTTTTTCTCTCAATTCCTTTGTATTCTGATTATATTTTGATAAAAACACTGTGAATGAATACTTTAGGTCTGAGTACCCAAAAGTATCTCTAAGAGCCCAAATATCTGAGCAACTTTAGAAAACAGTCCAGTGGAGTACAGCTTGGTCAGCTCTAAGTACCTTTTGAATTCCATCTTTAGTTGTCTAACAGTCACAGTGCTCTGAGCTAACTAGTAGGGGAATAATGCAAATGTTGGAGGTGAATGTATATTAAAGGAACAAAGGATCATCTGTGTAACACAGCTATTGATTTAATAGGAAGAAAAAAAAAACTCCCAATACAGAAAATACCTGTACTTTTCTCATTCACAGAACGAATACTGTGAATCTGCTCCAAGGCAGGGTCCTTGACCATTAAGCAATATAGTCTACTGGCAAAAAAAACCATGGCTATAAATAAAAATAAGAACAGATGCCTCCTAAGGGATATGATGTGCATACCCTAAGAACACAGAAAAGCCATTCTCCCACATCTATTTACACAGATGTCTACTATTTGCTGGTATTCTTGGTTATCAAAGCGAGACTGTTTCTACACAGACCCTGCAGTGTGCCTAGCTCTTGGCTCTAGGCTTTCTGTTCAGTGACAGGGAGAACTGTGCCCTATGTCTGCCCAACTCCTTTAGTCTAAAGATTTTGCCAATTGGAGGCACACTAGGACTGGAAAGTGGCATGAAGTGAAAGAAACTGCTTGCAAATTTTTAAAGATTTACTTTTATTTATGTGTCTGTATGAGTATATGCCACATGTGTAAGGGTATCCGCAGAAGTCACAAGATGGGGCTGGGATCCCCTAGAGCTGGAGGTAGTTGTGAGGTGCCCAATGTGGGTGCTGGGCACTAAACTCCAGTATTCTGCAAGAGCAGTAAGCACTCTTAACCACTGAGCTATTTCTCCAGCCCCTTTCAACATCTCTGTAACTGCTCAGGATAGCTAATAGTTTCACCCTCCAGGGTGTAACCAACATCTAAGTCATAACCAGGTTCACCAACAACAACCAGCTTCATTCACCTCAGTGCTCTGAGCACAAGGTACAATGCCTTCAAAGGCCAGAAGCATCTTTATGGGTGTCCCAGATATTAGAACAGCCGTGCTATTCCCCCACCTGTGAGTATGTAATTTCTGACACCTTCAGACTGTCTTTAACCTTTGCTCTCTCAACCCTAGGGATGACACTGCTATGTCATGAAACCACTACTTTCTGAAGAGCTACCTCAATGTTCTTTTTCTGCTTTTTGAATCTTCCATTTTCATATTCAATTTCTTGTATTAAATCTTTTTTGACACACTAGTCAGTATCTGTCTTTCCAACTGATACAAATTTAAAAATAATGCTCTTGACAAACGCTTGGAAGAACAAAGGGCATATATCACAAAGTGCAATCATAGCAACACAACCTATAACATCCAATGATGGAAATACAATTCACAGTACTTCTCAACTTTCAACTCTACCTTCAGAGAAATAAAGCTTCCAGCCCTTATATGGTATGAACTGATCCAATGTTGACTGTCGTAATAAAGGTCGTGGTATTTGTTCTGAAAAAGTAGAATACTAGATTAATAAAAACAAAGCACTCTCTTTTTCCCCAACTTGTTTCTCCTTTTAATAACAGAAATTTTGTATATTAATAGAGAATCTAAACTGGAGATTTTTAAAAATATTTTATTTTTTTATTTATTACTATTTTTTATTTTATGTGTATGCATGTACTGCCTGCACGTAGGTAAGTGCACCTGTGTCATACAATACCCACGAAGGTCAAAAGAGGCCGTCAGATCTCCTGGAACTGGAGTTTCGGACAGTTGTTAGCTGCCATGTGGGTGCGAGGATTTGAACCTGGGTCTTCTGGAAGAACAGCCAGTGCTCTTAACTGCTGAGCCATTTCTCCAGCCATTTAATATTTTACTTTTATGTGTATGCATGTGTTGCCTGCATGTAGATAAGTGCACCCATGTCATGCAATGCCTGAGGAGGACAGACGAGGCTATCGGATGCCCTGGAACTGGAGTTGTGGACAGCTGTTAGCTGCCATATGGGTGCTGGGATTCAAACCCAGGTCTTCTGCAAGAACAGCCAGTGTTCTTAACCTCTGAGCCATCTCTCCAACCCCTAAACTAGAGATTTCAATAATAATTATAAGTATCGATTTTCAGACTGAAGTTTGAGTCAAACCATTTTCTCTACTAGGCATGAATTGTTTTATTTACATTCATTCATTCATTCATGTGTATTATTGTGTAGTACACATGTGGGCCCATACATAACCATGGTGCATGCATAAAGGTCAGAAGACAACTTTGGGAGTGAGTTCTCTCCTTGTAGCATGTGAGTTGTGGGGGTCAAACTGAGATGACCAGGTTTGGTGGTAAGCGCCCTTACACACTGAGCCAATTCACCCACCCCTGAACTGCTTCTTTCATGATGGAATATGAAGTGATCACTGATTTCACTTACCAAAGTGATGTTTTACTGCTGTTTTACTAAGGTCAGCTCTGTGTTCCCTTTCTCTCCACTTTCCGGAGGAGTTCCCACCTCTTCCTCTTTTCCAGCTTTGGAATCTTCCTCGTCCAAATCCTCTGCCTCTATGCTCACCACTCATGTCTTCTAAGAAATACAGAAAAGTCACCAAAATGGAAGAGTAACAGCATTCCTAAAAATGTATCAATATAGTTAAAAAAGTGCATATATTGTGTTCAAGACTAGTACATAGGCTTGCAAAGTCATATGGTACCATATAGACTATGTTCTGTAGTTACTCTTCAATTGTGTGTCTGTGTGTTTGTGTCTAGGTATGTGTACGAGTGCAGGTGCCCTGGGAGGCCCAGAGGGTGTTGATCCCCTAGAGCTGTAGTAAGGCAGCTGTGAGCTTCCTGATGTATGGGGATGCGAATTGAACTCAGGTCCTATGAAGGAACAAGTGCTCTTAGCATTTGAGCCATCTTTCAAGTCTTATAGTTATCCTTTTAATCTCCACCAATTTTTAAGGCATACCATAGACGTTTATTAAGTATGGTACTGTACTAGTTTTCAAGGAGTCACCAAGACAAAAATAAAGACAGTAATCAACGCTAAGATAACCTGTTTGCAGCATTTCAGACTATTACTATTGGGTAATACTGACTGAACATAATCCTGACCTGTGTAATACTAAGCAGAAATCATCATAGCTCTGTATGTGTGTTACTAATTTTCTGCGGTAAGCTATCCTAAAAGTTTTCTAAATAATCTCACTCAATTCATAACCTGGGGCTACTGAGAGATGGCTCAGCAATTAAGAGCACTTGCTGCTCTTTAGAAGAGGACCCAGGTTTGGTTCCCAGCATCCAGATGGAAGCTAACAACCTTCTTTAACACCAGTTTCAGGGGATCCAATGCCATCTTCTGGGCCCTGCAGGCACTGCATACACATGGTGCACTTGCATACATGCAGGTAAAACATTCATACACATGGAATAACAATAAATACCTTTAAAAATTCATATCGTGCAGTTACAAAATGAATACATTCATACACTGTAGTGAACCTACTCGAATCTTAAGGGGATTTAGTTAATAAGCAAGTCGTTCACAATTACGTAAACTAATGAAATTAAAAGTTGCCCGAAAATCAAAGTTCAGGCGACAAGGCTACGTGCCGCACTCTTCTCAACGTCGCGGTTGAGAACACAGGTGTAAGAAGGCAGGCTCGGCGACCCGCAAAGCCCGCCTTAACTACGCCTGGTGTGCCCGTGCGGTGTGTACTAGCAGGTACCCGGGCCTCTGAGCTCGCCGCCGGGCGAGTTCGGCGGCCGCTTCCCTCGGCTGCGCGGTGGAAGAGCCGCCCTGGTGTCGGGAAGGCTCTGCGCAGCAGACCAGGCAAGAAGCCGCACTCGAACTCCTTCGCAGTTCTCTTTTGGCGCTTCTGTGGCGCAACTTCCGCCCAAGCTGGAGGAGAGCTACAGCCACTCAGAGAGCTCAGTTAGACGGAAGCCGCAGGGCTCCCGGAAGTCGTCAGAGGTCGGAACCGGAAAGCGGAAGCGGCGCGCGGCACGTGGGGGCGGTGCCGGCCGGAGGCGCAGGTTCTGCGTGCGGCGCCGGGCGAGTGCGGCGGCGCGGTAGGGCTGAGCCTGTGCCCAGCGTGTAGACAGCCCGGCAGCCATGGAGCCATCAGCCCCGCAACCCCCGCCTGCTGGGTACCACTGCATCCACGACGGCGACTACGTGGTGCTGAAACGGGAAGACGTGTTCAAAGCAGTGCAGGTGCAGCGGAGAAAGTAAGTTTTGTTGCCGGCCCTGGGCGACGCACCACCAATAACCACCCAGATGTTCCCTTCCTCCGAGTCCTTGCGTAGATCTCTCCTTCCGGGGTCCCATTCTTGATTCTTGGGTCCCAGCCCTTGTCGCCAACACCCAGGTCTTTCTGTCATAGTCTTTTCCTACTGGAATCCTTTTGCATCCTCTGCCTGTGGGATCCCCTGCTACATTCTCATCCCCCTGGGCCGCCCTCCACGATTTCATTCCCAGCCTTCTACCTTCCGCAGACTTCCATTCTTGGTCCTCCTCTTTGGCTCTATCACGCCTTTCCTCTGGGGTTCCCTAGGTTCTTAGGATCGTGTTTGTGCTTACACACTATTCTTTGACTTCCGGATCTGCTCCCATCGCTGCATCTGACTCCCCTAGTAGCTTCCCACTTTTCCCATAAGTCCATCTTACTCCTTCATTTCTCAGCTAGGATCAATTCCACCAAAAAAAGAGGAAATTAAAAAGAAGAAAAAAGTCTTTTCCACCTAATCTGGTTTTCATATATAAGCAGGCCTCTTCTCAACCAAATGGAGATGTCTGTGTTAAATAAGAAAAGAACACATTCCTGCAGAGTGTGATCCCTCCCTTTTCCATCAAGGTATTCAAAGTCCAAGAAAATTGAGTGTTTACAGGTTATTCAAGGTCTCAGAACTCAAAATTAGGTTTGAGAACTTTCTGGCAGAGCTAACTTTTATTTAATCTTAATAGCCTATTAAGAGTTTGCATGTATTGGGAAGTTTAAACCAATTTATCTGAATACAACAAAGTTTTCTTTAGAACTGGTTATAATATTACTGCTTGTGTATTTGCTTGTTTGTTCTAAAGCTGAGGCTCTAACGTAGGACCTGTGTACGTACTAGGCAAACATTCTTCCACTGAGTCACATCCCCAGGCCTGGAATACTCTTGGCATAGAAGTAAGTCAAATGCAGTCAGGAGAACAGATTGCTGTGGATCAGAAAACAGGGTATTATTGGGATGTAATTTCTTGTAAATGCTCACTTCAGATATTTTTTACTACTGTTTACATCAAACTGTTAAGTGGTGTTTAAAGTGAAACAGGAAACATTAAAAGTATTTACCAAGGGCTGGGAAAATAGCTTAGTTGCCTATTATCCACAAAGTCCTAGGTTTGGTCCCCAGCACTACATAAACCAAGCTCAGTGATGCAGGCCTATAATCCCAGTATGTGGGAGGTAGAAGCAGAAGGCTCAGAAGTTCTGGGTCTTGCTTGGTGATCTTTGAGTTCAAGGCCAGCCAGAATTACGTAGTAAGATCCTGTCTCAAAAAAAAAATTATATATTGCTTTTTATCGTGTGTGTACATATATGAGGGGTTGTGTCACGAAATGCATATGCACGTTAGAGAACAACCTCAGATGTTGGTTCTTGCCTTCCGTCTTCATTGAGATGGCCTCTCGTTCACTGCTTCGTATGCCAGCCTAGCTAGTGAACTCGTGGAGATTCTCCTGTCTCCACCTCCTGTCTTGCTATGGGAGCACTGGGCTTACAGATGTGCCCTGCCACACCTGGCTTTACATGGATTCTAGAGATTCAGTGCTTTACGCACTGAGCCCCATCCATCTCTTTCGATGTCATTCGAACTATCTGAGTGAAATCTGGTGGGCTTGTAAGTGAATAAGTTAGAGCTAAGTCTTATTCTTTGCTGGATCCCTAATAATTAACTCGTAGTATTCAAAATATTTGCTCAGTTCAGCCCAGATATGCACTCTCTCCCCTCATCCTTCAAGCACCTGTTAACGAACACTGGACCTACTAGATTGGGTTGATTTATGCCTCTACCAGCCTAATGTACGAAGGCAAAGAAGTATATCACTCAAACTGGTCAGAGTGGTCACTGCTCCAGTCAAGAAAGGGTGGGAGGGTATTCACATGGATATAGGAGCTGTATGTTTGCTGGGAAGGAGTAAGGTCTGCACAGTGAGCTAGAATTGCTTCTACCCAACCAAATGAGTACAGCTCATCTGGAAGGGTGATGGGGGTGTCTAGCTTGGAATGCAGCTGAGTTCAGCAGGTCATTTTATGAATAAAGTAGGAATTACCACTATGGCTTTGCTAAGAAGAGGGGTTGATGAAAAGAGCTTCCAAATAATTCCTAAAAATGCTATGTATCCCATTGGTACTGAGAAAGGTCATCTAACAGAGCACATTATAAAAGTATATGCAGACAATTGTATGTGAACATGGAACAAGCTGGGTATAGTGTGACAGCACTCAGGAGGCAAAGGAATAGCCTGGGTCACACAGCATGACTGTCGCAAAAAAAAAAAGTGAAAAACCAATGTTTACGTGGATGGTCATTGTAGACAAACATTGGATTCACTCATTAAATATGTACTTACAATCTAAACATAGTTACACTATGTTCTGTTTCACCTAAAACATCTAAATAATTCATGTTGACCACCTCCAAAAATTATATATTTGGTAGTAGGCACAGCATTTCTAATTTAAAATTCTGGAAAAAAAAAAATACTAGGTTCAGGAACTTGAGTACAGTGGTGATGAGGAAAAGTTGTAAAATGTCTCTAATTTCAGCCACCAAAATAAAATAAGATTTCATCAATGGAGCATTAGAATATGTTTTAAAGATACAGACATTCCATTCTGAACTAGATTGAACACCCCTTCCCTTTCTGTCAAGCTGGTACTTGTGCAAAAAGAACAAAAAGGGTTGGTTACCCAACTAGCTTGGGGTATTTGGGGTTGTGTTGCCCAGTATTTTTTTTTTTTTCAAGATAGTGTCTCATGTTGACCAGACTAGCCTCACACAGAGATCAGCCTGCCTCTGCCTCCCAAGTGCTAGGATGAAACGTGTGCACTATGGCGTCCAGCCTATAATAATTTTTCAAAAGAATGTGACATAGACACAAAGATATGGTAGGGTAGAAAACCCACCGGGAAAGGAGATGCACCTAGGATTTAGCAGTGATGGGAACCATTTGGCAGAGAGCAGAGGTGATTGAGTAGTGCATTGTGTGAACTTCCAGAAGCAAAGAGAAAGGAAGAGGACTGAGATGGGACACAAACCGAATGCACCAGGACACCTCCTGGAATTCAAAATTCTGTGTATAATCAGTCTTCAGACTAGATTCTGAATCCAGATGATACTTCCTAAAGCCTTTGCGTATGTAGACTGTGCTGTATGGTTTAGTAGAAAGAAACACACTTTAGGGGCTAGAGAGATGGCTCAGCGGTTGAGAACACTGACTGTTCTTGCAGAAGACCCAGGTTCAAATCCCAGCACCCACATGGCAGCTAACAACTGTCCATAACTCCAGTACCAATGGATCCAACAGCCTCTTCTGTCCTCTGCCGGCATTGCACGACATGGGTGCACTTACCTACTTGCAGGCAATAGAGGCATACACATGAAATAAAAATAATAAATAAAAAATTTTTTTAAAAAAGAATCACACTTTAGAATGAGACAGATCAGTATGAATCCAAGCTTTAGCATCATGTAACTGAACCCACCCCCCCACACACTGTGTGCACTGTGTGGCTAAGGCTGACCTCGAATTTGTGATCCTTCCACCTCTGCTTCCTGCAGAGATATGTGGTATGTACCACACCAAAGGTAACTGATTTTTTTGTTGTTGTGATTTGAGACAAGGTCTCCCTGTGTCCCCAGCTGGCCTGGAACTTGCTAAGTAGATCAAGCTGGCCTTGATCTCACAGATATCTAACTGCTTGTGCCTCCTGAGTGCTAGGATTAAAGGTGTGCATTACCACGCCTGGCCTCTGAATCTTTAACTGTATACTTTTCCCTGGGCCTCAGATGTCTGTCCTAGAAAGGACATCCCAGGATTACTGTGAGAACTTAAAAGTATTATTTTTGTGTGATTTTGCTTTTAAATTGCAGTGGTATACAAATCTGAGTAATAGGAAAACCTAATGTTGCCTGGCCCTCAGGAGAGTGATGTCAGATGTGTAGATTGCCAATAATATTTACTTCTCAATATAATTTGTTTGGATTAGGTACTTTTCCAATAAAATGGCTAGTTAGACGAAGACCAAGGAGTTTTTAAAATAGTGCTCGTCTCAGTGATTATTTTGTTGGAGCTTTTCTGCTGTGAGTTACATGGGGTGTCACAATGCCAGTGGTCTGGGAATCTCGGTGGCCCCACCTCTGTTAAGATCCATGGAACATGTACATTTAGGCATCCTGGAAGACAATGCAGAATGGAATCAGACCTGTGCCTTGAAGAAGAATGTCTTTCAAAGTGAGCATTTTCTTGACTTCTTAATTAATACTGGTACCTCTGCTCTAACCTGGTTCTCTGGTTCATGTGTCTGTTTATGTTCACAGAGGTCATGCTGCTGGCTAGCATGGAGAACTCTCAAAATAAACGGGGCCAGATACACCTTTTCTAAAGTGAATGTCAAATAAGTTAATTGTTTACTCTTTCTTCCTCAGAAAAGTGACTTTTGAAAAACAATGGTTCTACCTGGATCATGCTATTGGCCATAATTATGGATCGACATTTGAAGTGACCAGTGGGGGGAGTCTTCAGCTCAGGAAGAAGGAGGAAGAGCCTGCTTCAGGTATATCTCTATGGACACATGAGATAGATATTCCATGGGAAACCTGGGTAAAACACTAAGAAGTTCAAAGTTGAGGGGCCAGTGGGCTAGAGGTAGATAGGCATTTAGGAAGAAAGGTTGCAGGACAAGGGAGTTAGCTCAGTTGATAGTGTTTGCCTCGCATACATGAAGCCCTGGGTACCATCCATAGCACTGCATAAACTGAGCATAATGGCACACACTTAGGACATGGAGACCATAGGCTCAGAATTCAAGTTCATTTTCTGCTACATGGTGAGTTTGAGGCCAGCCTGCACTATCTGAGAACCTGTCTCAGAAAGAAAGATTGTAAAATCATTTCAAATCAGGGCCAGCAAGATGACTCAACACGTAAAGGTCCCTGCTATCAAGCCTAATGACCAGAATTCAGTTCATCCCTGGGACCCACATGGTAGAAGGAGAGAACTGACTGCTGGAGGTTGTCCTCTGACCACATAATTACACATGTGCCTTTGCACATCCACTCATACATGGAAAATAAATAAAAATGCAATAAGAATTTTAAAATATAGTTTCATTAAAAATTTTTTTTTAAAGATTGAGGCTAGAGAGATGGTTCAATGGTCAAGGGCACTGGTTATTTTTGCAGAGGACCAGGGTTCGATTCACAGCACCCACATGGTGGCTAACAACCGTCTGTAACGCCAGTTCCAGGGGATCTGACGCCTTCCTCTGCCCTCCTCAGGCATTGCATGACATGGATGCATCTACACACATGCAGGCAATACATTCATACACATAAAATAATAAAATGATTTTAAAAAACATTTATTTAGCCAGGCCACTCTCTTCTGACCTCCACAGGCATTGCATGACATGGGTGCACCAACTTACATGCAAGCAAAGCACTCATACACATAAAATAACAATAGAAATAAAATATTTATAAAAAAAAAAAAAAAAGAAAATAGAGAAATTTCTTCCCTTAGAGACTAAAGAAGCGGGCACTGATAATCGGAATATAAACGACGATGGGAAATCTCAGAAACTTACTCAAGATGATATAAAAGCTTTGAAAGACAAAGGCATTAAAGGAGAGGTAAAAAAGACTTCCTTTTTTGTGTGTATATAATATTTTTTTAAAGCAGATTTTAAGGTTGGATGGAGTGTGCTACTTTTGTTAGTGTAGGTTGAAATGTGTATGCAATTCAGTATATCAAGATTTGTTTCGTATACAGGAATAGAAGTGAATGTATTACTAAAATTATTAGTGGTAGAGAATTGAATAGGTTTATATTGGGGGTTTAACTGTTTATTTTCAGTGATTTTGGCCAGTGTTCTCAAGAATGATGGTTTCCTTTACCTCTCTTCTCCCTTTATTTGGAAAACTATTCTTTTAATTTGGTTTAAAGGGAGCTGTATAAGCAAGGCCCTGTGTTTAATCCCCAGCACTGGAAGAAAACAAATCTTTATTACAAATTCTAAGTAAAGTATAAAAATACAAAGCTGATTCACTTGGACTTCTGTGGAAGAGGGACTGGAGAATCAGACTTCTGGATAAATTCTGGGGTAGAAGCCTTAGAAGTTATTTATCTGTGAAAGTACCTTTCAGGAAAATCTACTTGCTCCTTTTCTTATAGGAAATAGTTCAGCAGTTAATTGAAAATAGTACAACATTCCGAGACAAGACAGAATTTGCCCAAGATAAATATATTAAAAAGAAGAAAAAAAAGTAAGTAGTTTTGTTTGACTTGGTTGAAAATAGTAAATCTTTTCTATTTCTGAAGTAAATGTTACTAGAAATACAATGTTTTAAAACCATTTTTTTTCAAACTGCTGTTTTAATTCCCCCAGATATGAAGCCATCATTACTATTTTGAAGCCATCTACCCGTATTCTTTCAATTATGTATTATGCAAGAGAACCTGGAAAAATTAAGTACGCTTTGTTTCCTTTCAAACGTATAATTGGGGGAAAATATATCTTTAAGAAAGTCATGATTTTAAGTAAAATGAAAAACTTGCTCACCTGCATAAAGTGCCCTCCTTCCTCCTAAATTGTAAGTCCTTTTACCGTCACCTCCAAAGCAATCAATAGTCTTAACACAATTTTTATAAGACAGCTAGAAAAATGATTATTAAAATTGCAGCTTTGCTTAGCTAAAAATGTGTGAATCGTCCTTCTTTTCTTTAGCCACATGAGATACGATACACTAGCTCAGATGTTAACCTTGGGAAATATCCGTGCTGGCAATAAAATGATTGTCATGGAAACGTGTTCTGGCTTGGTGCTAGGTGCCATGATGGAACGAATGGGAGGTAAGGCGATGCTTTCAAATTCAGTAAAACTACTCTGGCATGAGGAAAGAAGTCCAAAACTGGAAACCTGGAAAGCTGGGTTGAGTTTCTTTGAGGTTAATGGCTCCTGTCAAAGTCCTTCCTATATAACCCATCCTAGCCTAGCCCAGACTGTTAAGTGTCTAGTGCTTGTCCTTTCCAGCTTTGGGGTCTGTGGGGATAATTCTGGAACCTGTAGTTGACTAATGATTTCAGTAAACACCTGCTCCCTATTGTAACTTGAGGGTACCGAGTGGGGAGGCTCCTGAGGATGTATTCTCTGTTGGAATACCAATACAAGTGGGGCTGTTTCTGCTTTCTCTGACCCTATGTGTCACGCCATCTCCGATGAAGCCCGTGTGAGATCCTCTGTGGGTTGAGGCTGGAACTTCAAGGAAGGTTGCCTCTTGGAATTGGTTGTGCTGAGAAACATGCAGTGTACTTGGCACGCTCTTACTTGCTATTAATTTTCTAACTGTCACTGTATCTTGGGCTTTCTGGGGGCCCGGAAAGCTCCTGGTGTCCTTGGCACCGCTATCACCGCTTTTATTGAAATCCTTTAATCATCCTAGTTCAGATGCACCACTATTAACGAAAGATATTTTAATGAAAGGTATTTTAGACATAGTGAGAAGTAATTAAGCAGAATTAATGCTGGATAGTCCAGGGAATAATGGATTTCTAGAAGAAAAATATAGATGGATAAATATAGATAGAAGAAGGGTTTCTTGTTATTCATTACAATTCATGGATAAATCGGTAAGATCAAGGCCACCTTGGTGTCTTTTGATAAACAATCAATAAGAGAGCATTTTAAAGGGCAAATATAGAAAACAAGCAAGGAATGTTATCAGATCGTTAAAAAAGTAACAACCTGGCACCACTGGTGTTGGAAGTGCTTAATGGGGTGCTTAATGAATCAAGGCCATCCTGACTTGGGACTATAAAACCGAGCAGAATCTTAAGTGTGTGAGAAAGGCTGACAGTGAAAAAACACAGTAAAACAGGAATTTACTGTCTAGTGTCAGGTTAATGAAATAGAGAGAAATGTTTGCAAAATTATGTATTACTTTCACCTCTGCAACTGTGAATCTTAGCATGACTGTTCTGCGTTTTTTTGTAATCTTTGCTGTATATATTTCAAACCTTGCAACTGCAAAAATTACACTCAGACTTTCATCAAGCTCCTTTGTGTCTGTTTGTCACTCGCCGACTCCTTGTCCACCCTCTCGACGACCCTGTTCCCGTCAGACTGAACTACCCCGGTCTGGGCTGGTCCGTAGCACCTATGAAAGATGAGCTTGTTTCTATCCCATTTGAGGATTACAAAGGAGAAATTCCCCAATCATGTAGCACCAAATGTGATCACATGGTTTTACCCTGTGTCCTGTGGAGATGAACTTCTTTAAGACTTCCTGTTTATTTGCTTTGTATTGTATTGTGTTCTCTCTGTTGGAAATAGACCCCCAGATGAGCTGTGTCATTTGTCATCCATAAGACCACAGTGTTATTATGGGAAGGCTTGGACTGATGTATGCTTGTTTGATCTGTTCAGGCTTTGGCTCCATTGTTCAGCTGTACCCTGGAGATGGACCTGTTCGGGCTGCAACAGCTTGTTTTGGATTTCCCAAATCTTTCTTCAGTGGTCTTTATGAATTCCCCCTCAACAAAGTAAACACCCTTCTAAATGGAACATTTTCTGCTGAGATGTTGTCTTCGGAGTCCACAGATGGCACTTTAGTTAAAGAAAGTAATGGCACATTAGAGGGAAGACACATAACTGAGCAAGACAAGGAAGACACGAGGGCAGAGGCCCCGGAAGGCCCTCACCCGGAAGAACAGGAGACAGGGGAAGTTGTTTCTCAAGATCCAGAATATAAGGAGCCTAAAGACAGAAAAAGCAGAAAAGATTATGTAAGAATGTCAAGAGTCACTATCCTTGTAATATTCTCAGGGTCTCAGTGAGTGCCACATCATTTAGGTAATGGGATTTGGATTGACTTTGCTGTGTTAGGTCCCAAGATGATAAATAAATGTCCAAACAGTTGGGGGAAAGTGTGTGTGTACGTACACACAACTCTGTGACTTAGTCTTTGGGATGGAGCTCTATGATGTGGAAGTAGTGCTTGGGTAGCTTGATGGGATTGACAGTTGAGGTGCTTTCATCTTCCGTATAAGCCACCCCTGTCGGTTTCTTTACTCTGTTAAATGTTGTTGAAATACTATGACACATCAGAGCATTACTACAAAGCTGACTGAATGACCTCAGTACATTGGTTTCTTGCTTTTCTTCTTGAAGATTCAGGAAAAGCAAAGGAGACAAGAAGAGCAGAGGAAAAGACATCTAGAGGCTGCTGCTCTGCTGGGTGAAAGAAATGCCGATGGGTACGTTGATGACAGAATGCCCAGCACTGGTGCTGCTGGGCTCTGCTGCAGATGCATGGCATTTTCTTTCTGTTGTCTCTCCTGATTTTTATAAGAATAGAGACAGGATTTTCTTTGGGTTTGTTTGTTCATTTTAAGAAAGGCTGAGCCTGGGCTAGAGAGATGGTTTAGCAGTTAAGAGCATGTATTACTTTTGCAAAGGACTCGTCGCTCCAAATCTAAAGGGATCTGATGCTTCTGGCCCCTGTAGGCACCTGCACTCATGTGCATATACCCACATACAAATACATGCACACGTAATTTTTTAAAATAAAATATTAGGGGCTGGAGAGATGGCTCAGCAGTTAATAGCTCCAGCTGTTTTTACAGAGGACTTGGGTTCAGTTCCCAGCACCCACATGGTGACTAACAATCGTCCATCCTTAACTCCAGTTCTTAAAAGGTTTTATTTTTTTAAAAAAAGGCTGATGGGGCTGGAGAGATGGCTCAGCGGTTAAGAACACTGGCTGTTCTTGCAGAAGACCTGGGTTCGAATCCCAGCACCCACATGGCAGCTAACAACTGTCCGTAACTCCAGTTCCAGGGGATCCGACAGCCTCTTCTGTCCTCCGTGGGCATTGCATGACACAGGTGCACTTACCTACATGCAGGCAATACACGCATAAACAAAAATAATAAAATATTTTTTTATAAAAGGCTGAGTCTGGCAGAGGTGGGAAATTGACAGTGCTAATTTAAGAGTTCCAGAAGAAATCTGAACATTCAGCAATGACTGTCATATAGAATCGTATAGTCCCACTATGTGCAAGATTGAGGCATTACAATGGCTCTGATACTGACCAATGAGAAGAGCTAATGAAAACTTTGGTGAGGGGCTAGAGAAGATGGCTCAGTGGTCAAGAGTGCTCACTCCTCCTGCAGAGGGGTGGAGTTTGGTTCCCAGTACTCACATCAACTCACAGCTGCCTGTAATTCCCCAGGGGATCCAGTATTCTCTTCTGGCCTCCATAGGTACCCATACATGTGTACATACACACGGGCACATACACACACTTAAGCATAAAAAATAAATCTTGTGACAGGTAGATTCAGAAATATGGTCTTGGACTTGCTTCCTGATAATTTTTAAAAATAAAACCCCAGGCTGGGTGTGGTGGCACATACCTTTAATCCTAGCACTTGGGAGGCAGAGGCAGGCAGATCTCTAAATTCAAGGCCAGATGGTACTACAGGGAGACCCTGTCTCAATAAAAGAGACAATTATAATTAATAAATAATAAAAATAAAAACCAAGCATATCATTAAGTAGTCCTTATAGTTGACAGCAGGAGAGACCTTGTAACCCGGTTTCTAGGGAATAAATAGCTCATGATTTTATTCTGCTTTGAACATCTAGAATACTCTGCAGAATCTGTAGCTCAGGCTGGCCTGGCACTCCCCATGTAGCCCAGGCTGACCTGGTACTCAAGGCTATCCCCTGCCTTGGCCTGAATGTTGGGACTATAGGCTTACACAGCCATACCTAGTAGTACATGGTTGTTATAGATACATTTTAAACCTATATTTCCCTTGGAAGTAGAACATTTTCTCTAATGTTTTCCTTGCAGCTTGATTGTGGCCAGTCGTTTCCATCCTGCTCCATTGCTGCTGTCTTTGCTGAACTTTGTGGCCCCTTCAAGGCCATTCGTAGTCTACTGTCAGTATAAAGAGGTAACTGGACAAGTGAACAGGAAGCAAGTCCTGTGTCTGAATGTTGATCCTCAAGCTGCAGGAAGTATTTAACAGATCTGTGTTTTGTCCTCAGCCTTTGTTGGAGTGCTACACAAAACTGCGGGAACGAGGAGGGGTCATCAACCTGAGGCTGTCTGAAACCTGGCTCAGAAATTACCAGGTAGGTGTTCTTCTAGCCAGGCTCAGAAGTTGCTCTCCAGTTGCTCTCTTTGCAGGTTACTGGTTCTTTGAAGTAGTTCTGGGAGGCATTAAATGGAGGCAGCCCTGAGTCTGTTACAGCAGTGGAGGTGTCTCTTGCCTGTCTGTGACTAAGAGAAAGTCCCCTGACGTCTCTTTTTGTCCCAGGATGTGTTCTGTAAGTTCAGACCAAAGGCTTCAAATCGCTGTGGTTCATCCCCCCGCCCCAAGTCCTTGCTGTCACTGTAGAGGGGGTGACTGACCTAGTATCCCTGTCCCCTGCTGCAGCATCTTCATTCAGTTTTCAGGACGCCCTGGTAGACTCGTGTCATTTAGGAAGGCGTGCTGAGGTATATTCGTGTCCTCTCTCCCCCTTCCCAGCCCTCTCTCTTTTGGGCAGTGTTAGGGATCAGACCCAGGACCTCAGGTGTATTAAACAAGTGGTCTAGTACTGAGATATGCCCAGTGGAAGTTGAAAGACAAGAGGTACATTAGGAAAAATGCCTTGAAAAGAGAGAAGCCAAGCATGGCAGCACATGCCTTTAATCCCAGTACTCGGGAGGCAGAGGCAGGCAGATCTTTGTAAGTTTGAGAGGCCAGCCTGGTCTACATAGTTCCGGGACAGCTGGGGCTACAGGGAGACCTATCTCAAAAACACCAAAATAAATAAATAAATAAATAAATAAGTAAATAAATAAATAAATAAATAAATAAAAAAA